ACTTCCAGCTTTTTTCTTTTTGCTTATGTGGTGCTGAGGAATCGAACCCAGGGCCTCAGGCATGCAAGGCAAGCGCTCTACCACTGAGCCACCTTCCCAGTCCCTATACTCACTTTTTATTTACCAGTCTTGATCTCTCTTTCCCTCGACAGACACTCACAGGTAAGCCCATGTTGATTTTTTGTGTCTTCAGTAATTGCAGGAACTTTAAGTTGGGGCCCTTTGAAAACAGATACTCTCTCAAGTCCCTGCTGAGAGCTACCTGTCAGCACTGATTGTCTTCTGGGGCATGGTTCAGTTACAGGAACTATTCCAACATCGTTGGATCCAAAATTCACAAGGAAAATGCATTTGTACAAACCTGATTCACTGAGTTAATCTGACAGTGACTGGAGTCAATTTCTTTTCTGACCTTGATGGTAGTACTAGCATTAGTAATCAGGGCCCTCACTTCTGGGGGGAGGGCAGTGGGGAAGGTGAGAGAGGGAAGGGGTAGTAGAAGAAAAACAAAGGAGGGGGAACGATGTTCAACAAGAAATATACTCATTGCCTTACTCATGTAACTGTAACCCCTCTGTACAGCATCTTTACAATAAAATAAAATTAAGAAAAGAAATCAGGGCCTTATGCTGGTTGGCAGGTTCTCTACCACTTGGGCCACACACACACACACACACACACACACACACACACACACACACACACACACACAGAGCTCTTTTTTGCTTTAGCTTTTAAAGTAGGGTCTCGTGTTTTGTTTTCTTTTGGTTTCTTTGTTTGTTTTTGTCTGAGTTAGCATGGACCTCGATCCTCCTATCCCATGGGCTTCCTATGTAGCTGGGAGCATAGGCTCAAATCAGTATGCCCAGATTGTTGGTTGAGATAAGGTATCACTAATTTCATATCCAAGCTGGACTCAAATCACCGTCCTCCCAATCTCAGCCTTCTGAGTAGCTTGACTTACAGACATGAGTCACCAGCCCCTAGCCCCCTTTTCTCTTTTTCTCTCCATAAAAATTTTGAGTGTACCAGAGGATATTCAGGGAATATCCTGACTAATTATGAATGAGTAGAAGTAATTTGGTACAGTATTTAATGCACAAGTTTTAGGGTTAAAGAAAGCTTATTTCTCCCTTCAAGACCAGCCCTTTGCTTCCAGAAAACACCCACATAAATGTCATTTTGAGGGGAAAAAATTTCCCAACACAATCAATCTGTATAGGCAGTTCTTTACTTATTTTTCCCTAGGTTTTTAGATCCACGTCTATTATTTTTATTGTAACACTTGCCATGCTGCCTTGCAGTGTCTTCTTTTACTGTGTCTTGCCCATTGGATAACAAGGTCCTCTAAAGCCAGAACCACACATTATTTTGTCCAGCATGAGGTCTGTTTATATGTAACAGTGGCCAAATATGCTCAGTGCTCTGGAGCAAGGCAAACTGGGTTCAAATTCTGACACTACTTTTTGTTAACTATTTGACCAGGCAACATGGTATTGTTGGACATGATAAATGGCTCATGCTGAAGACTTGTTGTTGTTAGTGCTTTTATGTTGCTGTTATTAATATTGTTAACTGCATAAATATTTGTTAGCCAAACTACTACATGTCTGGCTCACACCTCCAATTACAACAGTTAAAGTGACACCACAAAGGGAATGGGACTGGAGGTACTTCTAGGATGGCACAAGGTCACAATGGTCACTTATGGAGAATTCCTGTTAGAAGAAAACAGGCTACACTTTCTAAAGTACTCCCTGATGAGGGTAAGAAAGGCAAATGAATGAAATGCGGGAAGGTGTCAGAAGGTGTTTTCAGAGCCTACCTGTTTGGGCAAGTGAATTTTCTCTGGGAGCCTGCAAGAGACAGCTTAATTGGTGGTCATTAGAATAGATGCAACTGATTACACATCACTTAAAAGCATTTCAGCTCCTTTTTTTTTTCCACTTTGTAATCTTCTCCCTTCATCCTTCCCTGGCAACTTTTCTGCTTACTCCTCATTGAAGTTTAAGAGATACACATTTTTAGGGAAATTTACAGCCTGTTATTCTACTTCAGGCTCTTTACTCTTTTCTTAGCTGCAATCTAAGTACCAGCACTTGTAGAAATGCCTACTGTGTGTTCCCCGCTGCAGGCCAGGCCTCTTCTCTGCTTCCCCAGAACCTTAACACAGCCTTCCTAAGCAACAGATTGCTTCTACTTTTATTTGTTTTTATTAGCCTGTATTAAGTTTACAAAATAATGGGTTCATTATGATACTTTCATTAGGTACATTCACCCCTTATTAATCTCTCATCCTCTCTCCTAGCCCCATTCCTCTTCCCAAATAGGCCTCTTTCTGCTTTCATGTCTCTTTTCTATGTGGGGAGGGGGATAATACTGGGGTTGGAACTTGGGCTGGGCTGTTTTTGCTCAAGGCTGGCACTCTACCACTTGAACCTTAATTCCATTTCTGTTTTTTTGCTGGTTAAGAGTCTTATGGACTTTTCTGCCTGGGCTGGCTTTGCACTGATATCCTCAAATCTCAGCCTCGTGGGTAGTTAGGATTGTAGGTATGAGCCACTAGTGTCTTGCTCATGATGTGTGTGTGTGCGTGTGTGTGTGTGTGTGTGTGTGTGTGTGTTTAATCCAGACTCCACATATGCTGGAGAATGTGATCGTTGTCTAGCTTAGTTTGCTTAACATATCTCCAGTGCCCTCCATTTTCCCACAAACAACATGGTTTTCTCTCTCTCTCTCTCTCTCTCTCTCTGTGGCTATATAAAACCCCACTGTGTGTATTGCCACAGTTTGCTCTCTATCTTCCACTAACAGGCATCCAGGCTGATTCTATTACTTCGTTCTTATTGCAGTGCTGCAATAAGAATCAAGGCAGAGGTATCTCTATTAGATCCTGACTGTAATTCTTTCCTATATATACCCACTGGTAATAGCAAGACCACTTGGTAGTTCTGCAACCTCTATACTTTCTATAGTTTACATGTTAATTTATCAAGGGTTACTTTTTCTTCCACACTCTTGCCAATTGGCAATAGTGTTAGGTGTATTGCTGTTTGTTCATTTGTTTGTTTGTTTTATGATTGCCATTCTGACTGGGGGGAGATGGAATCTCAATGTGGTTTATTTGATTTTTTGTTGCTGTTGTTTGCTTGTTGGCCAGAACTCAGGGTATCACCCTTGCTCAGCTTGCTTGCTTGGCTGGTGTTCTACCACTTAAGTATGCCTCCAGCCCTCAGATCTCAACCTGATGAGTAGCCACCAAGGCCTGGTTACATTGTAGTTTTTAATTGCATTTCCCTGATGGCTAAAGATGTACTTTTTTGTATATTTATTGGTTATTTGTACTTCTTTTTTTTTGTCGTGGGGCTTGAACTCTGGGCTTGGACACTGTCCTTATGCTCTTCAGCTCAAGGCGAGTGCTCCACCGCTTGAGCCACAGCACCACTTCTGGTTTTCGAGTAGTTTATTGGAGATAAGAGTCTCACAGACTTTCCTGCCTGGGCTGGCTTTGAACTGCGATCCTCAGATCTCAGCCTCCTGAGTAGCTAGAATTACAGACGTGAGCCACTGGTGCCTGGCTTGTACTTCTTTTAAGAAGTATTTATTCTGTTCATTTGCCCATTTGTGTTGATTGGATTCGTTGCTTTTTTGATAATTAATTTTTTGAGGTCTTTTGTATATTTGTGGTATTACTCTCCTGTTGGATGAATAGCTGGCAAAGATTTTTCTTCTATTCTATAAACTGCCTCATCACTCTGATAATTGTTTCTTTTGCTAAGCAGAAGCTTTTTAATTTGAAGCAAGCTACTGCAGTCATATTCAGAAAGTCATTGCCATGTGGTAGATTATTTCATATTTCTTCATCTAGTTCTTCCTCCCTTCCATTCCTCTCCACAAAGGTAAGGGTCCAAGTAGCTCCTTTGTTTCCTGATATCCTGGGAAAATAGCATAAAGCCTAGCATACAGTAGATGGTCACTAAACACTTGTTGGTTAAATACATTATTATGTAACTTTGAAGTAGGTACTATTATCTTCATTTGGAAGTTAGGGAAACTGGTGATATGAAATAAGTAACTCAGTATTACTTAGCTAGTAAGCAGGAACCAAGGCCCTCTGTCTAGGTTGTTTGTTTTTTAATTTTAATTGTTATTATAAAGGTGTTATACAGAGGAGTTACAGTTATATAAGTCAGGTAATGAGTAAATTTCCTTTTGGGCAATGTTACCCCTTCCCTCACTCTCTACCAATTTTTCTCTCCTATCCCCATCCACAAGTTGGACAGTTCATTTTTAGCATAATGTCTAGTGAGTACCACTGATGCATTTGTCCACCCCAAATTTCTATGCTCCTCCTTACCTTCCCAAAGACAAATAAACAAAGAAGACAAAAAGAAAAGAAAAAAACAAAGAGAAAATCCTCTTGTTTCCATTTCCCAGAGTTCATTTCAATAAACATTATTTTATGTGATCAGAGGCACATAGGCATTGCACCTTTGTACCCTTCCCCTAAGAATATCCTCCTTTGGTCTCATTGTGTGTGAATGCCTAGAGTCTTGTATAATTGATCACGTCCTGGTATATTTTAGATATAGGTCCCGCATTTGAGAGACAACATGCACTGTTTGTCTCCCTGAGCTTGGCTTACCTCACTTAACATGATTTGTTCTAGATCCATCCATTTCAGTTTGTTTGGTTTTGAAATTACTTTCTCTACCAGATTATATCTTGCCCTAGACAAATCCTCCAGGAACTGTATGAACACTGCATTGGGCTGAGATGGGGTTTATGACTGAGGACTTGGTAGCACTCAGAGGGCATGTGACCATGCGGCTAGATTTAGGCAGGGACCCCAGGCAGAAAGAGGGTTGGGAGTAGGGGCTGTTTGACCCTAACTCTCTCTGCAATGTGCTCACAGAGAATTCTTTCATCTTCTCAGAACTCCATTTGCTTCTGTGCCACAAATTGCTAGGCTCTCCTTGCTTTGACACACTTCCCAAAATGTCTGTGAAGACTTGTGGTAATTACATAGAGATTCTAGTTTTTTAGAAAGAGATGTCATTGTATCAATGCCAGGCATTATTAGTCGATTAAATGTATTATAGCAACCATTTATTGCTACTCATCTTCTTTAAATATCAGAGTCTAGGTTCCTGCAGTTGTCTAGTTCAAAGCCAAAACCTAGTCCAGCCCCAACTCATTTCCTGTATTCATTGAGGACAAAGAAAATACTGGCTGAGGCTTGTATGCCCTTGCTGGACAGGAATTCTGGTGAATGAGGCAAATTAGGAAGCCATGACCTTTCATGGGAGGTAATCTTTTATGCCCACATATAATTCCTGGGCAAATACATTCAGGCCCTACTCACCCACTAATGGTGTCCCACATTGCTGTCCAAATCCCATCTCCTTCTGGCAGCTACTTTCTATGTACCTCCTCCAAGGCCAAGTCCAGCCAGCGGGCCCGGTCCACCTGAAATCTAAACAACCTCCGGATTCCTTACCCATGTGAATGTAATCTGTTACCTTTGATTTCTCCTCAAGTCTCATGAGTTCTCAGTCAGTCATCAAATCCTGTCCCTTCCAAATCCAAATCACTTCTCCTAGCTCACTCTTATTCTCCTCCTTTTTAAGAAGTGTTCTAGTTCTGGCTCCAATCCTCTGTTCACCTCACTGTTGCTCTTTTTGGGCATAGCTCTTTTCCTCAGAGCTGGCTTTGGGCAGAACTGATTGGATGATGGTCCATCCTCAATTCATCCCTACTCTCCCTATCTTCTAGTCATGCTCTGCCTTCAAACTCTCCAGCATCCCCAACAACAAGCTTCTTACCTTCCCTGTGTCTTTTCACACCTGTTCCCCACTGAGAATGCCAATCCACCTCTTTGCCACCTGTGGATTTCAACTCATCTCAGGTCCCATTTCCCTTCTCTCACAACTTCCTTCAGGAACCGAGTAACACCTTCTTCTACCAACATACAATGTCTTGATCACTTCCTATATCCACCAAACCCAATGAGCAACAACCTATGAGTAGTTTTTGTATTTATCTTCATTCTATTTCACTATATGAATCAAGAGCCTGCATCTAAGGCCACTCTGCTAGGAAATTGTCTATGCAGAAATTTAGGGACTTGTCAACTCCTCCTTTGGTCTCTTGCTGGGAGGTGCATGGGTCTGTCTAGGCTATACATTTCTTTGGTTTCCCCAACTAAAGCCTGGATAACTGGTACATCCATTTCTCAAGCTTTGAGGAAGCATCAACAAAGCTATTAGAAATGACACGTTGTGGGTGGAGGTAGAAATGGTGTGAGAAACGCATTCACCATTCCAAGCTCAAAGGATGGACTCAAAGGCAAGACTTGCAGCGAAAGCGAGACTTTAATGGCAGTCTTGCAAGATCCAGTGTCTGATGGGCGGGCACACCCTAGATAGTTGCAACAAGCAATTTATCCCTCATATACAAAGTCCCTCCCCAGATTCTCCACTGACTGAGTACTGTGGGGTGTACATTCTCTTCCAGGTGTTACCTAGCTTTTCATTACTATTGGGTGATTTCAATACATGCCCTCTTGGAGTTAAGTTTTTAAAGCCAGTTTTGGCTGTTTCTACTCCCACCCCTTTGTTCTCTGGTGGCAGGAAGGCTTTTCTGGATATGAGCTCCTTGCCCATGCAGTTTCTACCTATTTTCTCTTTTCATTGTAGCCCCTTCTTCCCCCTTGCCAGTCAGTACCCTTCTAATGTCTTGTTTACTTAAGGAATTTCCAATGCATGAACTTTATCATCTGAAAGCTGCTATGTAAGCAAGATACTGGGAATTAGACCATCAAGGTCAAATGTCTTGTCATGAAAATGGACGATCATTGACTTTATTTCTAACAGATGGTAAAGTAGCGATTGAATATGGAGCTATTATGATCACCATGGGCTACTGCACTACCAGTTTCCTGACATAATCCATCTTCCTCGTGCAATCTCCACAGAACCACCAGGAAGCTAAGACAGGATGAAATCACTTAATTTTGCTATCCACACTTCTTCAAAGGTTGTAGTCTCTACACTGTCTACACTTTCCTTCCACTGAAATCAGTCTTGGTAACTCTGGCTCCTGCCCCCTGTCATGTCTTCCACTACTTTGCTTACACACAGCCATATAAAATCACTAATCACTCTTTGACCACACCCATGACCTATTTCTACCCAAATCTTTGGTCTGTTCCTTCAGCTTGGTTTTCCTCCTCTTTACCTATTCAGTGAACATCTACTCATCCATTTCTCAGTAAAGCTCTACTCCATGACCCTCCCTCTGTGAAGCCCACCCTGCTATCCTTGCGAAGATGTGTGCCACTTCCTTCCTGCCAACATAGCCCCTGGGGCAGCTATCACCCCACTGAAAAGGAAGCTTCACTAATTCAACTGGAATTAATTAAGCTTTGTAAGCAACTGTCACCCGGATGCCCTACTTAGTGAGTCTATTAGCTCCCTAGGGCTGTTACTAAGCATCACAAATTGGGTGGCTTAAAACAACAGAAATATATTGCCTGGCAGCCCTGGAGGCTGGAAGTCTGAGATCAAGGTGAGCACTGGTCTGCTCTGGTTGGACTTGGACAGCTCCAGGGTAGATCCTTCCTTGCCTCTCCCAGCTCTGATGTTGACGGCAGTCTTTGCTGTACCTTGGGTGGCAAACAGGTCACTGCTCCCCAGAGCCAGCTTCTCCGTGTGTGTCTTCACCTTACTCTCCCTCTGGGCTTGTCTCTGGTCTAAACTTTTCATTTCAAAAGGACAGTGTCCCTCCCTATCCTAGGACTTATTTTCATTCTGTGGCTTCTCTAAAGACTCTGTTTCCAAATAAGGTCCCCTTCTGAGGTACTGGGGGTTAGCCCTTCAACATCTTTCTTTCTGAAAGGAGGGGAAGGGTGGAATGCAACTCCAGCTACCCAGTGGGAAGTGCCATCTCCTTTCACAGAGCCTTCCCTTTCAGACCCTCATAGTCTCACTGAGGTCTGCTTTCCCCATGTGAGCCTTCCTGCTGTGTCTGTGTTTCTTTTGTTGTATCCACACAAATGGTTTCAGTCAGGCACCTGCCCTTCAGAGCTGTCAATCTTCAACATCTCTAGCAATCCCACCCCCCAATTCAATCAGAATTCTGTGGGTTTAGCTCAAGTGAGCTTTTGTGCTCAAGACAAGATTTCTGCCACTTGAGCCACAGCCTCACTTCCAACTTTTGGTGGTAAATTGAAATGAGAGTCTCACAGATTTTCCTGTCTGGGCTGGCTTTGAATTGCAATCCTCAGATCTCAGCCCTCTGAGTAGCTAGAATTACAGGCAAAAGATCCCCTTGCCTGACTATTAACGACATTATTAAGAGAAGCCTTGTTTCAAGGGAAGTGTTCACCCTGGCTATGTCATCCTTCTTATTTTTTTTTCCAGAAACTTGCCCCCATTGGCAGCCTAGCATCCTTCCAAGAGACCCTCCCCATGTTCTCCTGCTCACTGACAGCCACATATCAATTCTCACCTTCCACCCCAACATGGACAGCTTTCCTCGGGGCAACCCTTTCAGACACCCTGGCTCCCTAGCCATATCTCTTTGCCCAGAACTCAGCAGAGAAAACCTCTTCCATTTGTTGCATATGTGTTGGTTAATGTTTGTGCTGGCATTAAGCTGGATGCTGGTGACAAAGCCAAGAGCGAGAATGATGCATTGGCTATTGTCAGGAGGTGCAGTTGGGCGGGGATGGCTGAGTTTCAGGTATGAGGAGGATGGACAGGAGAAATGTGCTGGGCTTGCACATAACCAAGCAGTTAACTCTTTCATGATGTCATCTGAGGTGCCAGGTCCCATGCTAGGCCACAAGAAGTCACTATTCTCCTGGAGCTTGGCTTATAATGGGAAACTGGGGGGGGGGGGGAATGTTAGGTACTAAGAAGGAAGCTAATCAGGATTGCCCACTCTGCTATCCAAAGTCCTAATGTAATGCCCAGAGACTTGACGTGCCTAAAAAGACCACCAGAGACCAAAGATCAATGCAAGCGGCAATGAGTCGTTTATTGACGAGCTCGAGCACAGACCCCTCTATGCACTGATGGACGAGTGCAGAGAGCGGCCCCCAGCACAGGGTTACAGCACCTTTTATATGTTCTTTGGTAGGGGTAAGGCCTCAGTATGTATTGGCAATGAATCAATACACCACGCGGGAAATTTAAATCATAATTCTAGCGGATGATTGGCACAGTACAAAGCGGGAAAAGGGCTGGGGCTAATAATTGGTCAGGCTAGCGAGCTATTGTGCTCTAAACTAATTAGACAGTACTTCTAGGGTAATTTAGGAGAAGTGGTTGCCAGATGGCCACTATCTCTGACCCCGACCCGGGGGAAGTGGTTGCCAGGCAGCCACTATCTCCGATCCTAGGCCCAGAGAAAGTGGTCTGGAATGTGTCAGGTACTTTGTCAGGTACTCCCTGCCAGAGGGTTGTTAATTTCAGCTCCAGATCCAGGAGTGTTGGGGGCTCAAGGGCGGGTAGAAAAGCAGTTGCATTCTTCAAGCAGGTCTAATACAAAATGGCAAATACAGGTCTATCTGGTTATATATATCACGCTTCTCACTAAGTTGGAGCAGCAAGGGCAACAGGAAGCAAGAGAATTCTAGAACTGCTGCTCCTGGAGGGCGGGGGTCAAGGTCAGAGTTGTTCCAATCCCTCGCTCATGGCCCAGCCTAGTGCTCATTACAAGAAATATTTGTGTGTTTAATACTGGCCTCTTGTTAAGGGCTTTTGCCACTTAATATTTATTTTCCATCCCAAGAGGAGAAGCCCCCAGAGATTCTTCCAGCTCTGACCATACTGCTTGGCACAGACTCTTGGGAAAACTCATCTGGTACCCAGATATATACACTGCTGTATATATGACCTTAGAAATCAAAACATGAAACATGTACTACAATAAACGTGATCCCAAG